GATGTTAATCTCTTTCTCCATCAAATTTTCTATGACAGGTACAAGTACGTTTACGAATTGTTGAATTTACAACGTGTAATCCATGCGCACAATGCAACCAATCCGCATCGAAATTGGTCATCGTTTGTGGCGGTGCCACAATCAAGCAATGCCAAACATCATGCAAGATTCGATACAGATGGATTCATATTGCTAACGAATCTCTTGTATGAAGCAAGGACTGGTCAAAAAATCCCAATGCCGAGAGATCCGTGGACGCATGCCCAACACAATGCATTTTGGCGTCGATTTGTAAATTTGGACAAAATCAATAAGCCGAGTCAACAGTTTGACTTTTCATTCACCACCGATGGATGTTCAGCCCATTTGAAAATGATTCGGCGAACCAGAAACGTTAACACCAACACCAACAATAACAACAACAATGATGATGCAGTTCCGAATCCAGAACAACCGGATCCAGTGCCGCCAATCATTCAACGTGCTTACGATTCAGGACAAATTGAGAGAATTATCGGTTGTGATCCGGGCTACAGAGAATTTGTGGGGGTCGTACGCAAAGATTTAGCGACCGACAATGAAGAAAATTTTCTGAAATCATCGAAAGAGTGGCACCATATGACCGGCTTTTTCGACCGTCAATACAAACTGAAGCGATTTACGGGTGAGTTTGAGAAAAAATGTCGTAAACTGCGTGAAAATCGTGAAATGTATGAGGAAATGCCATCGAAGAAAAGTGCCGACTACCGTACCTATCTGGATTACCAGCTGGATATATTCAATGAATCATGCGAGGTATTTATTTATTTTTTCGCTCTTTTGAGTTGATTTAATTTGATTTCATGTTATTGATGTGTGTGTGTCATTCATTCTTAATTTATATAGATAAAGTATCAAAAACGTGTGGTTCGTTTAAAGTTTGATGCATATACACGTACGCAGGTAGCATTGCATGTGTTGGTAAAGCAAATGACAAAAGTCGATCGTAGAATGTCGGATGCTGAGAAAACAGTGATATTGGCATTTGGTGGTGCAAAATTTGCATCAAACTCACCCATCAAAGGATATCTACGGTGTCCGCATCGTGCATTGCAACAAATGGCACGTGAATATGTATTCGTTTTGCCAATCAACGAACACAACACATCGCAGAAGTGTAGTCGATCAGGACGTAAGCTGAAGAAACGAAGAAGTGTACCAGAACGTCAATCAAAAGACCGGTAAGACCATTGCCAATGAATGACATTATTATTATTATTATTGATTGTATTTTCTTTTCTCCAGTTTTCTAGTTTGCCCCAACTGTAAACCGGTCGAAGATGGCGTTTTTCACGATCCAATTCAATGGACAGGCAGAGTTCATCGTACTTTCAAAAAGAAACATCCAAAATGGAAATACCGTTCCATATGTACATTCCATCGACCGGTTCCAGAAGCAGAAGCAAATCCAAATCCACCACCAAGACAAAAGAAAAAGAGATACCAGAAGCAGTTGGAACGGAAAACAACAGTTATATTCAATCGCGACATAAATGCAGCGAGAAATATGATTAAGAAAGGATTGTACATGTTGAATCATCTGCCGATGCCAAATTGTTTTCGACCATTCAGGCATCAACTCCATTATTACTACAATTAAAATCAAAAATAAAATTATAAGCACGGACGTCTACGCGAACATTCTCACAATGGGAATCTCATTGTTTCAAACAATGATACCAAGACGTAGTAGTGGACGATGCTAACAAGTACTAGAAATAGTAAGTATATTAATTTTTCACAGTAATCAGCGATCTCAACACTACTACTGCTACAATGAACTCCCAAATTAAAGCAATGTTGTTGTTGTGGTCATTGATTTTATAAGTATTTACTTTACTTAACTACAGGGTGCGTCATAATAACTGTCCCTTTTTTTTCAATCGTTTGTTTTAATACTCAAATGTCTTGCGATTCACTCTGTCGTTTACCGTTATGTTTATTGGTGTTTACTCTAACTCTAATGATACTGCGCATTTATGTACAGTGTCTGTATAGCTTGCGATAAGAATGGATGTGAAACGTCAACTGGTACTAAATTTGCACAAACGGGGCTTGAGACAAATTGATATTTTTCGACAGCTACAAAATGAAAATATCAACTTGAAATTTGTAAAGCGCACAATAAAACGATACAAAGAACGGAGCAGCGTTGATATATTAAAGAAAACTGGACGAAAAAGATCTGTTCGTACCAAAAATCTCATCAAACGAGTGAGAGAGAAAATTCGCCGAGAACCTCGAAGAAGTGGATGAAAGTTGGCTCATGAGCACAAAATCAGTGAAACTTCAATGCGACGAGTTTTGGCAGAAGACCTGAATATGAATCCATTCAAAAAATGTCGACGACATGGTCTCACAATCAAAAATAAACAAGCCAGAAAGCAAAGATGCAAAGAGTTGTTGCGCCGGCACGCAAACTCAAACATTGTTTTTTCAGATGAAAAATTGTTCCTTTTACAGCCAAGCCTCAATTCGCAAAATGATCGTGTGTACGCATCATCAATCCTTGATATTCCCGAAGATAAAAAAAACCATCGAACGATTTCAAAATGTTCCACAATTGATGGTTTGGGCCGCCATATCGGCCGACCACAAATTTCCACTGGTTTTCGTCGAAAAAGGCGTAAAAATCAATGCCAGAGTATATATTCGAGAAATATTGCGTAAAAACTTATTGCCACAGTCTCAAAGACTATTCAGAGGTGAACCATGGGTATTTCAACAAAATGATGCACCCGCACATCGTGCAAATACGACACAACAATGGCTACGCACGAATTTGCCTGATTTCATTGACAGAGACTCATGGCCGCCATCGTCTCCTGACTTGAACCCGCTCGATTTTTTTGCTTTGGGATACATGTCGTCGAAGCTCAATGATCTGAAATTTACGAAACGAACCACTTTGGATGCATTCAAAAAGAAAATAATAAAAATTTGGAACGAAATTCCCATTGATATGGTGCGTGCCGCGTGTCAATCGTTTTCGAAACGTTTGCGTTTGGTAATCCGAGAAAAGGGGGGAAGAATTAAAGTCAAAGGCTGAATCATAATCTCTATACCTCATTCTTATATCGAATAAAATTATATCTCGATTTGATTCAAATTTCTGTGTTTTTTGGCTAGAAATAAAAGGGACAGTTATTATGGCGCACCCTGTATAAAGTATATACTTTCATCTATAGTTTCATTTTCCATTCCGATCCATTACGCATTGATTAATTTCCATTTTTTCCATTCTTTTCTTCTGATCAACTCTTAGGTAGCTCCGTGAAATCTTAATGAATTTGACGATATGAATAAATGAAACGCAGATCAGTTTACAGTGTTTTCTTAGTAAAAATCACATTTATTCTATAAAACGTTTACTTTACTGGGTTCGTTTTATTGTTCCAATTTCAGATGTGTGTATAACTAGTTTTCATCATTTTATTCGTCTGCTGATTATTGTTGTATGAATGAAATTGATCGGATTTTTTGTTGTTGTTGTTGATGATTTATATCATAATCTATATAAATTAAATATGATTGAATTGGTCATTTCGTGTTGTTCGAACTATTTCGTGATCTTTTTTTTTTAATTAACTAATCAGTTAGAAATTCACCTTAACATAATCGTTATCATCATAGCATCATATACATAATAATTATTAGGAAAGAATATTCTTATTATTTAGTACCAATTCTTATAGCACACTTTTACAACATCATTCGAAATTATCACTAACTTTGTGTGTTTCTATGAATCGAATAATAATTGCCGATTTTCTCATAAGAAATCAAAATATTGATTTGAATTTGCATGGATGAGTGTGTCTGTGTGTGCATGTCTTTTATGTCTACACTCTTCTATTCAGGAAATATAACATAATTCTTCATACTTTTGCTTGTCATCAATAATAATTAATTATTATTTAACATGCGCTACAAATTAAATGTATACATGTTTGCTACTAATGTTTTATTGTGTTGAGAACCTAAGCGTGTGCATTCTTTCTCTCTCTGTATGTGTGTTTGCTTAAACGATAATGGCTTATTCTATCTCGTTCGAAAGTAATGTCGTCTTCGTTTATTTAATATCGTTATTTTGAGTTGAGCTGAGCTATTGTTTGTTTCGTCTGTGTTTTGTTTTCGAATTGAGTTCTACATTTTCGTGATATATTTCGGCTATTATTCGATTTCTTCATAAAAATGAAAATACAAAATCTCAAAGTTAACTGATTTTCAGTGTAAGAAAAAGATACATCTCAATTGCACCATTTATGTTTGTGTCGGTTTTTTGAATAAATAAAGCAAAAAAAAAGGAAGAAAAAATAATAAAAATATTTTAGCTATGATATTCACTTAAGGAGGCACAAACTAAAATCGAAATACTAAATAAAATTCCTTAACATTAGAATACAATATAGTAAATCAGCAAAAAAAATTGTTTTTGATATAGTATCCTTCCAAAGAGTCGTGAAGAGTCTCTAGACTCTCAGAATTTCACATGCTTTATTATAGCAAATGGCAATCCAATCTGGTTGCGTGGCTCCCCATTGAATTTGATTCACTTCACCTTCGGCCGCTGTATACGCAAGTATTGGATCTTCAATAGCCCGTGGCATTTGTTGAATATCCCAAATTAGTGCTTGATGATCGTCGCCGGCTGTGCATATATGACATGAGCTGTGCAAAAGACGACATAAAATCATTTTGAGTTTAAACACTTGCTGCATGAATATCTCGATAAAAATGAATAAATATGTAATACAAACCTGTGTGGTGCCCAAGCAATGCCATTTACACAGGCTCGATGATTGGCTAATCGGGCAACTGGTGTACATGGTACACGAACATCCAAAATGATTACTTCGCACGAATCCATCGCAACTGTTGCCAAATAATTTGGATCTTGTTTATTCCATGCGAGCCGTAACAATGGTGTGTGTGTTGGATCTTCGTAAATGATTGTTGAATGTTCCAAATGTCGTAAATCAAACATTCGCACCGAACCATCGGCACCAACTGATGCAAACATATCACGGCCACCGCCGGCACGTGAAAATGCAATGTCGTACACCTCTTTATCGTGCGCAATCAATTGTGTCTTTACATGGCCGGCAACCAAATTCACTCTGCCCAACGGTTGTCCCGTTTCTAGGCCCCAAATTGTGCATGTTGTATCGATCGATGATGTACCAACTAAATTCGGATCGACTTCATTCCAATCGAATGATGTAAGCGGCGCACAAAAATCACTATTTTTATTATTATTGAGCACACACTCGAGTCGAGTGTCTGGCTCACCGGCTCGCCATACGCGCAAATAATCTCCACTTGTTGCTAACAAATCCGGATATATACCCTTTGAATCTGGTATCCACATAATTTTTGTCGTCGGATACGGATGATCGAACGTACTGAACGAAAAAAAAATGTTCATGATGAGACCCGAAAAAATTAAAATTTACACTACCAATATGTCTTACCTTTTTGCACTGAATTCGCTTGTGTCTTCATCTAAACTTATAACCTGAACTTTGTTATTGTATTCTTCAATGAAACTGCCAAGTGCCAATCGAAAACGTTTGTCAGGCCGTACGCTCCAATTCATCGAATATAATGGCCATGGTGCCAAGTATTTGTAGATTTCTTTTCGTTTACCTGTACTTGACGACATGCTTGCGTATGACCTGAGTGGGCGGTCGCGTAAAAACTCCGCTACACAGAGAAATACAAAATCAAATTTTCAAAAATCAATTTCAAAAGAATAAATCAATTTTCAGCAAACAAAATGATTTAGATAAGAAGAAAAAAACAAACTAATTCGCGTTAGGCGACACAAAGACGATTCGATGCTTTAAATAAACAAAATGTCAAATGTGGCATTAGGAAGTTCACTGTGTGCACATTTATATTATGTAGACATGATGTTTATGTGAACACATAACAAAGACGTCTGGATGCAACGTCGCACATTTTCATGCATAAAAACAACACTTTAGTTATTGTGTTCATCGCTTAAAACTTACTTATAACGCTTTTATTGGCTCTTTCAATGTGCAAAACCGATTCAATCACGATCAAAAACAAATAAAAATTATCGCAAAGATGTACGAGATTCAGATATTAGATGGATTTTGTTTGCGGTTTTTACGTCACACTGTTTAACTTTTTCTACACTAAAATATCACTACAAATCAAATCAATTTCAAATAAAACTTATCGTAATTGCTTTGAAAATAGGTTCAATGTGATGTTGGCATTTGGTTTTGATATTGTTTTGTGTCGATTAAATGAATAAAATTTGGTTTGTTTTTACAAACATTATACAAAAACACAAGTCCATGCGATTTAGTTTATATTTCTCTCACGAATGAGATGCGATCGACATGAAGTTGGCTACAATCCATACAAACCGAAGCGTCAATTCATTATGCATATAAAAGTGTTATACAATCGTCAGACATACGAATGAATTGTGCATGGTAACACACAAATAATCGAAAACAATTAAAATAAAACGATAATGATAACAGGTCGTAAATACTCAAAGTAGACAACGAACTTTATTGAGGAGCATTTTTATTCTTCTTCTTATTATTATTATTATTATTATTATTATTCAACAAGATCTTCAATGCGTAATTGGCAAATTTTTTTCACTTCATTGATTCCATTTTTGATTTCATCGTTTCGGGTATTTGGCAAGCGGTCGACAAATCCTTCCAAAATTCGTTCGATTTTATTATTTTGACGAACACAAATCACAAATGGAAATCCAAATTTCTCCGAATATTCGGTGTTCAATTTAACCAATTGTTCTTTTTGCTTGTCCGTTATTAAATGCAGTCCAGCTCCAGATTGTTCGTTGGCCGATTCTTGGGACAGCTGATTCTCGTCAAGTAATTTTCCAGCCAAATCAGGATGCGATTTTAAAACAGCCAACTTATCATCGACGCTTAAATTTTCCAAATAATCACTAAATGCAAGCAATAACTGGTTCAGGTCACCAAATGGACGTTGTCGCACAACTGATTTTGCTGCTCTTGGCCACAATTCAACCACATTTTTAAACACTTTTTCGAATTCTGACGATGATAACTCATTCACATCACCAATTTTCATCTTTCGAATTGGCATTTTTTCGCTACAAAAAAAAACAACAACTCTTAAATTAACTGTTCCAAATAAGAAATTCTACTGAATTTTTATACGAACGAAATATTCGCTTATCAACGCTACTCAAATCAACCGTTTCACACAGATTAACTGATCAAACAAACAACATATTATCTACATAATGCTGACGCGTAAATAAAACATACACACTAGCATTATGTTGGTTATTGCTTTTGGTTTAAAAAAGATGAGCAAATAAACGAAAACAATACATTCGTACTGAGTTTCGTATCTCTTAGAATATAGGTTATCGTTCATCTTACACATTTCCGATTTTTTCGATAATTTTCTCGTAGATCTTTATTCCATTCAAGTACGTATCTGCATTTATATATTCGTCATGTTCATGTAACTTTGGTGTTGTATTCATGAGCGGCGAAAAACCCAATGCTGGAATTCCCACCTAATTCCAATAACAATAACAATTCATTATAAAAATATCCGAAACTTTGATCGTATCCAATCAAATAAAAACGGTCAATTACATTTCGAACATATCTGCTGTCAGTAACTGCTCGAAATACAGAAGGCGTAACATTCAACCGTCTGAAAATTGGACAATTTTCAATTTTCAATTTTGAAAAAAAAAAACTTTTTCAAATATGTTTATGTAATTCTTCAAAGGGAATGCCCACTATTTGAATGAAGAAAACTTACAATTCATCGGTCGCTTGTTTGAATGCAAGCCAATAATAATTTGAATCGTCTATAGGTGTTGGTGGTGGATTCAAGTCCTTGATAATATCAACGGTTACATTTTTACCTGTTTCTCTCGCCCAACGCTTGATCTATAATACACTTTTTTGAAAAAATGAAAACTTTGATGTGAAAATTTTCAATTACCTAAGGGGAGAATCACAAAAGAAAAGAATCGAATTAATTTAAAATAATCAAAAATTAATTGTAAAACAATCAATAATAATTAATAAGCAATTTTTAAGTGAATTGTCCCTTTCAATTACCATTCGTTCAAATTCATCCCAGTCAGCATCGATGGCCATTCTCATATCAAAGACAGCTCGCATTTCAGGCGGCACTACATTGTCTCTAAATCCACCATTTAATATGGTTAAATTTATAGCAGTCACATTACCATATGGATATTTCTGTTCCTTCCATTTTGCCGTTTCATTCTTACGAAGCTCCAAAAACTTATTGACCACATAGTTTAATTTTTCGGCAGCGGTATCATCAAAAAGGATTGAAGCATGACCAGAGTGACCTTGTGCAACAACATTGACAACCCAATCTGGTTTTTCTGCGTAGAATACTTCAATGTCATCAGTTTCAGATGGATAACCTTCGTCTAATCCAAAACCAACATTCATTTTTTTGAATGCATCACTTTCGACGAATGGTCCCATACCAAAACCACTGACTTCTTCGTCTGGCATATATGTCAAATGAATTGTACGTTTCAGCTGAATTATTCCTTTGCGCTTTAGCGCTCTTGCTGCTGCTAAGTATTGCATTCCGACGGATTTCATGTCTTGAGCGCCACGAGCATAAATGTTCCCGTTTTCATCGATTTCGGCTGCAAACGGTGGATGCGTCCAATACTCCTCGGCCGCTGGAACTACATCCATGTGTGAATTCAACATTATAGATGGCAGCTCGGGTTCAGACCCCTTCCATGTCATAACAAGTACTGGATTTTGTTTATTCACAGGATGAAAGATCGATACTTCAAAACCTAAATCATCGGCTTGTTTTTTCAAGAAATTTATGCATGGGTCTGGAATCAGAAGATTTTTCCCCAAAAAATTATTGCTACTATTTAAAAATAATTATTTTCAATTAAAACTCCATTACCGAAATCAGTTTCGAGAGATATTGTTTTAAATCTTAAGTATCTTCGGAAAAGCTGAATCTCTTCATTTTTAACCCATTTGGCTGTTGCTGGTGTTGAATCGTTAAAATTGTAGTTGGCATCCTGTTCCTGTGTTTCTTTAAGTGGACATTTAGTTCGAGTAGTGTAGAAAAAAACACCAACACCAACAGCTACTATGACACTAAAATTGGAATGGATCTTGATTCTGATTTTAACATTTCCATGGTTATTAAAACGAAATTCACTCACCACACAATTATTATAGATGTCAAAATTACTTTTACCGAACACTTTTGACGTGGTTCCATTTTACTTTTCTTCACAATGGTCGAATTTGTTATGAGATTTGCTTTATATGGATTGTAATAAGTACCTTTGAAATGAGTGCCATATACCATAAAAATATAACATTTTTACAGCCACTTTATCTTTGACTGACAATAATGAGACAATTGTAAATTAGTTGAATTTGTATTCAATTATGGTTATGATCGATAATAATTTAACAGATAAAGAAGTCTTATCACATTCGCAGATGATATTCGGTTTCAAGTAAGTTAAATGACGTATTTTAGCGGTTAAATAACAATCTCTCATCTGAAACTTTGCGTGGTTTATTTGATAACATTTTGCTTTGTAATTTTTGAAAACAACGGATATTCGCATGCATTTGTGGAATGTTTTTTTGTTATCATGACATGGCTCTCTCGTGATTTTTACAGTGGTCACAAAGAAGGGCCAAAATATGGAATTGTTAATGTTAGTTGTGTAAGAGTACGAAAAAAGTGCGTACTCCGTTAATGTGTGTTGATAGCAAGAACAATATTTAATATTTATTCATGTCAATTTTTTTAAAGTGGCAACTTCTAGAGATTTTTTGGTAGACTCGCTAATTTAGATTTTTGGATATTATATTTGTATGGTTTCATGAGACGAAAGCTATTGTAAGATTTTAAAACTTATTACTAGTTTCAGTCGATTTCATATGGAATATATATGGCTTCGGATCGCCGTTTTCTAATATAAAAATATGAACATGTTAAGGTAATATCATTCTGAAAGCAAACATGCTCCAAAAGGTTAGAAAAAATCAAACTTTTGGCAACTCCATCGGTTTAATTGTTCGTTCCATTTTTATTTTTCAATTTCACTTCGGAATGTATTTCTCTCAATGATATGCTTATAGTCACGAAAACCCGGAGTGTATTGATTTTTGATTGCATCGTTGAATACGTCACTTATAATTTCTGGTATATTTTCGATTTGTGCAGTGTTTACAAGCTATTCATAATATGCCTTGTGACGAAAGAAAAGAATATGCGGTTTTTTCGGATTTCCATTGATTGCATTTTGGAATTTTTCATCGTGTAACATTTCCGATTCGGTTGGGAATTCTTTCGCTCCTGTAATGTATTTCAACGTAAAACGTGCCTATTTTTGATCGAAAAAGTATGAACATTGAAAGTGAATAAATGGAAATGATAGCAATTGCACTGTTGTTACCAAGTTCAGAAAGTTCGTTTGCGATATCATTTCCACTGGAACAGTTATAAGTACAAATTGTAAATTCGTTTATAAAATTGCATTCAAACGTGGTCTCGCCTTGGACCTCCTCCAATAACAATTTACACTCGGAAGTCCTGCCGCTCCAGCACCAATAACAGCAATATTTAGGAGATTTTTATCAATCGAGGAGAATGAATCATCGGCACTCGTACTTAATAGTCCAAATATAAATGCAAGAAGCATCCATTCAATTCTTTATATCATTTTAGTTGACTTAAACGGAGTTGTCGTAAAAGCCAATAAGCTGAATGAATTGAAAAGCGATCGTGTAATTTTTTGTCAATGAATTTTGAAGACATTTTTATACGAAATATCATTTTTAGATACTTACTTATATAATTATTACGAATAAAACGAATTAAATACAAACGAATTAAATTGGAAAACTTCAAAAACTGCGCTCTTAATATGTCATTGATAAAAGCAATCCTCTGATTAACTTTTGAAACAGACAAGTGGACAATTTCTGTTCTTCCATTGTTTTTTGTGCAAATGAGAAAAATAACATATGGAAAAAGCTATAATAATGTCAAGTTTTATTCATTTGTATAAGAGATGTATCTTTTTCATGCATGAAATGGTGTTTAAAAATGTAAAAGTAGTTATTCGATACTAGTCTCGTGTCTTGTTATTATCCTTTTTATTTGATGCGCCTTTGTAAAAGAAAAAGACTTGAATGTTTCTGATTTTCCACTTTATTTAGCATTTGGCTCGAGTATAATTATTGATAATGATAATATATAAATTGAAATAAAATATTTAAATGAATACAAAATTTGATAGAGTTTTGATTAAAAATGTTGATAGCCTTAATTTAAGACAATAATCTTTTCTTAATGTTTAAATATGAATAGTAAATTATAATAAGAGGAAGAGTTTAATTTCTCCGCGTTTACATTGCTTTGATTAAAATATCCGTACGGGTGGGCAGCTCATTTGACATGTCTTCGGTCAAAGATGATAAATTCACCTATGGTATTAAAAAGAAAATGTGATTAGATGATGTTTTTTATTCAATAGTTCATTTGTTAGATGTCTTGGTACGAACCTTTTGCAAAAAGTGCATGCATTCTTTGAAAGCGACAAAGAATTCATCGGCATTTTCTTTGGTGAAGAGCATTGGTGGTTTGAGTTTTAAAACATTCTCATTTGGACCATCTGAACTGATCAACACACGATGAACGCTCTTCATTCGATCAACAATCCAAGATGCTTCTTGTGTAGCCGGAGTTCGGCATGATTTGCTTTTAACCATTTCAAAGCCAACAAACAACCCATATCCACGAACGTCGCCAATCATTTCAAAATCATAGCCAAGCTTAATTCCTTCACTCAGCAAATATTCACCGACCATTTGAGCATTTTGTTGGAGTTTTTCATTCTCAACCACATCCATTACGGCATTTGCTATCGCACACGATACAGGATTACCTCCGTACTGTAAATCAATATGAATTTTAAATTAAGATCTTAATGTCGACATTCGAAATGAATACTAGAATCTCTAAGTACCGTATTGAAATATGAAACACCCGTTGCCGTAAAACTGTCAGCAATTTTTTGTGTTGTAACAACAGCGCCGACTGGATGACCATTTCCCATTGGCTTTGCGATGGTTACTATGTCTGGAACAACGTCTTGTGTTTCAAAAGCCCAGTAGTGTGTTCCAACACGACCAAAACCCACTTGAACTTCGTCTGCAATTGTCACACCACCATTATTACGAACCACTCTGCAACAAAAATTGAATTTAAAGAATTTTTTCCATTCGAAAAAGATGTGTTTTTCTTGTTTTTCGCATAGAAATATGAAACTTACTTGTAAACATCTTTCAAATATCCTTTAGGTGGAATGATTTGACCACCACAGCTTTGGAAACTCTCAGCAATATAGGCAGCAACACCGCGACCTTCCTCACTTACTTTTTTGGCAATTGATTCGATTTCGGCAACATATTGATCTTTAAGTCTATCAAGTGTTGAGTTAAAGCGATTGTACTTTCCGCGATAGTCATCCGGACATGATGCCTAAAATATTTTTAAGAGATAAAATAAGAGATTAAGAAGCATTCTTATGACATCGGCCGCAGAAAAAGTATAGTCTAAAAGATACTTACGACATGCACAAAATCAGGCTTCGGGTCGGCACCGGGCAAATTAAATTTGTATGGTGAAATTTCCATCAGTGAGGTCAAGTGTCCATGATATGCACTAGAATTTATCCATGTTAGCTTATCGAAGCTTATGTTTGTTTAAAAAAATCTAATGTTTTTTTTTCTTTATTGAAATTTTTTTTCTAACTGATCAAATATCGCATAACTTCGCATGAAACCAATTATTCGTTTGTAAACAGCTGTTTTCAAATATGCCTTCCTCTTGAAGGTTTGAACGGAAGAGTCGGTTTTTGTTTTAGGTTTTTTTTTTTGAAGAGAAACAAAACGTTACGAGATTAGAATTGGTTTTTGTATAAACAACCTAACAATAAAATGCTCGATTTTGTTCTAATTATCTACAATGATGGATGTCATGTAAGTGCAAAGCCAATATACATTGTCGGTACCATCTAAAATTAAATTTAGATTGTGCTTCATGAAGTTGATTGCATTGTAATCGTTTGTTTGTTTACATTATGGCGAAAAATCATGTAGAATTTGTTGTGCCGTTGATGTACGCTTTCTATCAATTTTACTGGGTGATTGCTTATCATCAGGCGACGGGCGTCGTTTTAAATCTCGTAACGATTAACTATTTGCTATTGCATTTGTTGAATCACATGAGTGTGATAAAATGTGTGTGTATTCATTTTGAGTGTAAAAAAATCGCTGATCACACAGAGCACTAAAGGGCGTATGTAATAAAACAAAAGCAAAGATCGTGAATTGATGCCAATAGTTGGAAAAATTTCCATTCGCTTTCGAATGATCCTTGTAAATGGAGTGCGTCGTAAATCTTGATGACTTATTAACACTGTTCGATAGCTTGAAAAGTGAATGAAACTGGCTTTCTTTTTTCCGAAATAAATTGCAGTGCATTCTCTTTCGTTGCAACTCAGTTGGCATGGTCAATGACTTTTTATTACTAAAGTTAAACGCTTTATGACACTTGCTCTGTTTGTGTGACTATCATGGAATATTTCCCGAAAAAATACGCGCACACACATACACCATCTATTTTTGTTCGTTGTTTGACTTTTGCTAACTCAATGATAATAATCGAGCGAATGTACTTCATCCAATGACTTAATAAGTGGGCAATTTAAATTGCGTTTTGAGTTTTGCCCTTAGTTGTTTGTTTTTGTTGTTGTTGTTGTTTGTATATTTATTTGCTTTGTTTACACTTACTGGTCTAACGTGATGATATCCCTCTGTTTTGTGTGAGTGCGAGCCAAACGAAGTGCCAAATCATTGGCCTCAGATCCAGAATTGACAAAATAACAAACCGACAAATCGCCTGGCATTTTGTTGATGATCTTTTCCGCACATTGCACCAATTCATCATGCAAAAAACGATTGTTTGTCGACAGAACGGCAATTTGTTTGCTTGCCGCTTCAACGACTCGTGGATGACAATGGCCAACTGTTGTTTTGAAATAAATGAAAATAAAAATAAAAAATGTTTGATATAGTTGAAATGAATCATCAATTTCCAAATTGATTAGCGCTCTTGTGAATGATGATAATGCAACCGTTTTAAGAGACACTTGAACATTTCAAATGTGTTCAGTAAACATTGTGTTCGCTTTTCATAACTTTCAACAACAACAGTGATATCGCTGTCTGTCAGTTACATTTGATTTGGCTTGTGTATTAAGTTTCAAGATGTGACCCTGTTTATAGCACGTGAACGGTTTATGATTCGTTTTGAAAAAACGTGCCCATTTCGTGCCGCTTAGTAATACACGCTTGATTAGATTATATTAGTTTTTTTTTTGTAGCGATGTGGATTTGATAGGTTTTTTCCTTAGCTTCTCATTTCAGAACATTTTGAAATATTTATAAGTTTCGCTACGTTGGCTTATCAACAACGTGAATTGACACTTTTTTATTTCGAGATTTCGTACTATGACTCGCGTCAATTGTCAACTATAAAACATTTCTTTCTATCAATTTCAGTTTTTTTCTTTGGCATTTTTTTTATTTCCGTCTCAATTATTGCTATCGATTAAATTTTGGTTGACTAGATGAAATTGGCCCCCTTTTTTAGCAGGCATTTATTTGGAGCAGTAATGTGCGAAAGGGGGGGGGGTGGTAGGGGGTGGTTTTTGGTTCCGAGAGATTTTTTTCCGATTTGCTAGGGATTTTCGCCTCAAAATGTGACTTCCAAAAAAAAAAAAAAAAAAAAAAAAAAAAAAAAATTTTGTCTGTTTTGCTAGAAAATTTTTTTTTTTTAAAAAATCAGCCCCCCCCCCTGTAAAATGTAGCTCGCACATTACTGATTTGGAGACAAATAATAGAAGAGAAAAAAATATCAAACACTCAAGGAATTCAAGTATCTTCGACACGTTCACTATCATTCAGTTGTATTCGGTGTTGAACCTGTGATTTTTATTTGATACTTTGAACATTGAGCAATAATTCTTTGAATTGCACTTCAGTATGTAAGAAAAATCCACGAAATGGGACCTGAATTTAAATTTCCTTTGAAGCAGTATAAGTAGAGCATATTGTACAATTAAAGATCAACTCGCGCTATGAATTTTCAAATACAAAATTTCTCATAAATATAAAAAAAATGTGGACAAAGTAAACATTTTCCTATTTTGAACGTTTCTGTTAATGAGAGCAGAAGATAGGATTCTTTTGCCCATTTTCATTATTAGCGATTGCTCTTTTGTGTTGACACAAAATCATAATAAAAAATGCAATGAAGAGAAGAAATATGACAAATCTTCCAAACAAATCGTTGAAAACAATAGTTTTGTGATTGGTGTGGTAAAAGGTCAAGTCGAAATGGAATGTCGACCGAAAATTGTATTATCATTTTAAGTGCATAAGAAACTTACCATGCGCTACGTTGTTAATGCAATCAAGATAACGTGTTCCTTCTTCGTCGAACATATACTGGCCTTGACCACGAACAATTTTCAAAGGGTCTGTTTTGTAAAATAATTTACATGATTTTCTGTCCAAAAAGTACGAAAAGAAAAAAAAAGATTAGAAAGATATGAAAAAAACAATCAAATTTGGTTTTGAATAGAAAAGCTAATTTCGGGGACAATGGAAATTCAAAAAGAAGTAAACTGTGTAAGTGTTTTAGTAAATCTCTTTTGGGAATTTTCCACATTTTTTGGTCAAATGGACCGAAGCAATTGTTCAGACTTACCCGATATATCGGTTTCTCATCTTAATGGTGTCGGTCTTTGTCATCTTTTCCATAATTTGGTTGCTTTGTGAAGGCATCTTTATCGTCTCAGGTAGATTTGTACTTACAAAGAAAGAAATCGGTGTCCAAAATGTAGGTCAAGTAACTCAGGGACTCGCAAAGGATTTTTGGTTTATTTGTTTGTTCGTTATTCTCGAAGAAAAGAGAAACGATTACACTACAATGACTGCGAATAAACTGACGATGAGATTTCAAGTGTTGAACAAAACTTGTTTAACTGATTACAGAATACAATGTGTTTAAAACTCTCGTGCTTTTCACATGCGTCTGAAAGAAATGAGTCTCGTTTTTTATATTTAAAGTCGAATGGTTTATGTATCAGTTAACGATGAATACATATACACACATCAGCTGACTACATGGATGTTTGTGTGTAATCTCCGTTCTCTGTTCGTTCTCTGTTTACCCGCTGATAATAATATTGTATTTGCAATAACAGCACATTTACACTCGCAAATCCACACGCACACATCGTGATAGTTGTTTTTACATGTGCTTGCAAATGAGAAAAGAGAAAGAGGGTTGGGTCACGTATTCCAAGACGATTTAACGTGATAATTTGCTGATGCTCAATTCCGACGAATATATGAATACAGAACCAAGAAATATCGTGTAATGTTACCAATGTAAAACATTTTGCAAATTGAAAATGATTAAAACTGCATCGGATGCATTGTACAAATATTACATAGATACAATGAAACCATTTGGTTGTATAAAAAACTAGGTCGTTGCATTTTACCGAAATAGATATCGCTTTGTAGTTTTCCATAGCGCATCAAGGGGACAACAATCACTTTGAACAATTTAAAATTGAATGAAAATCAATCACCTTCGCCTATTCAATGGAATTTTTTTTAAATTACTTATCAATTTTGCTCGATGACACTTTTACTTTTTATCTTTGACTTTTTCTTCTTTTGAAGATTTCTTCACATTTTCATTCATATTTTTTTAATTCAATAAATTATAATAAAGTGTTCAATACAGTAAAAGGAGATGAAGAAGAAGAAGATCACGCAACCATAATAAACCAAGATAAATAGAAACAACTTGAGATATGATAAAGCACTTTCATTATGAGCATCTCATTTGAACAAACTACATTGCTTACCAGCTGTTTGCTTAGTGAAACATGCTTCAAAAATAAAGATAGAGAAAAGTTTTATTACTATAATTCCTATGTGGATATTTCGTTTTTCATAGATCAATTCGGCGTTCCCCTTGTTTGAGTCAGCAAAAAAAAAAAATGAAAACAGATCGGATTTGATATCTCATTGAGGAAGTAGTAAATTTGATGAAATCATCGCTAAAACGTTATTAGTAAATGACCGCAATAGTTTTGATGAATTATGGAGGTTTGTTTTGTTTAGAATGTGATAAGCACGTGCTGAATCTGTTTTTAGCGTTTCGATGCGCAATTTCGTCAAGTGGAATAATTGAAATGCGATATTTCTGGCACGGTGGCGACGATGCCATGACTTTCGTTTGGCCAGGGTTCTATTATAAGGCCAGGGTTGTTTACGCCATTCCCATTGAAAAAGTAAAAACATCCCATTTACTCGGTTGCCCTTTACAAAACTATCTACAATTGATTTTGTTTCAAAAGATGCACTCAACAAATGTAAACACTTCGTTGGCAAAAAAAAAAAAAAAAAAAAAAAAAAACAGAGAAAAGAAAAGAAACACATTTTTTTATATTATTTTTTATTGACTTCAAAGATGCCTCAATAGTTTTTTTAGTTTTTTAATTTTTTTTGTTGGCTCGTTTTATTTTTTAGATTTTTATTTGCCTGGATAATTCCTGGATGATTTTACATTTTATTTATCTCTTACATTACTGTATATTGTGTGTGTATATATATATATATATAGAATCGTCTTTTTTTTCTGAAGAATTAAATAAAAAGAAAACCAACCTCCGAAGGAGAAATAAATTATGAAAGTCGCACATTCTCTGTCGAGAGCTCGAGGATAATGTGTATAATTCATCTCAAATATTCAATTTTATAGGTAAATGTATATGATAAAATTCAATGCAATCTCGTGTTTATCTTTCATTTAATGTAAATTTACTTTTTCGTTCAGTTTAACTTTAGACGATGCCGAAAAAATAACAGCAGCGGAATAATAAAACATTTAAAATATTCAAAATAATCATATTGCATGTTCATTTCTTAATCCATGACGTTTAATATAAAAACTTTGATTGTGAGCAGCTTTGAAACGGTACCAAAATTATTGGGACAAACATTTTGCTGCAAATAAAAGCCTGTCGACAAATGCTTATCTGTGCCAGATTGTTTGTTAGGGATTCTTTTCTATTATATTCGAGCTGAAAGTGGCGTTGCAGCGATTGAAGCTGAAACAACATGAAATACAATGTGTTTATTACACGCCATGTTATCAGATTAGGGTTACATTTAGTATACACGCTATTAATCTAAAAATGATCCGCTCTTTTTTCACCTTTTAAATCATATTCTAAACAAAACCGTTTGACGTTCGGTGTTTGTATGTTTTTGCTTCGTGTTATTGCAAAATAAACGTGCCAATAAATTACAAGTGATGAATGGAATATTCTGTGCAATGTGTACGCAAATTACAATTCATCGAGATAACAATCGACGATGAAAAAAGGCAAGTTCAATTATTCAATTGTTTGTAAGAGGCAGCGAATTGAATGGTTTTTTTTAAAAAACATTTCACAAACAAATCGAAAAGTGGCCTGACTTCACAACTGATAAGCGTAATTTCACGCAACTTCATGCTCAAATGCTGTGTGAGAAAATGCGCATTGAACTGAACAATGTTCTCTCTCCCTCTCTCTTTCCATTTGTTTCTTTATCGAAAGGGCAAATGTGTTATGACAATATGCACTTTTTATTGGTTTAGCGTCGTTTGCGTAATAGCCACGATAAAAATATATAACGGTATAAGCGTCGCAAAAAAAACCTGTTGATTCATAACTTAAGTGGTGCATACTTAATTGGTGTTTGTATCTTTTACCAATGTTTTTTTTTAATATCATCGAATTCAGATTAGTTTATTGTTGCAAATATTTTGATATTTGCATTTAGTTACCTTGCCTTGATTTACTGATCAGAAACAGTTTTCTTTTGAAATGCTGAATTTTCGCAGTATGAATCAAACGACAAACCAATCTTGAATTTTGACTTTTGGAAAGAAGTATTTCGGAAACATTTTCTCTGATTTGACATTTGTTATATTCCCAATAATATTTTCGAATTCTAATTATAGTATAATTATATACGTTCAGCGCGTTCAGCTATGAATCCCATTTAGATTTTCCCCGAATATAATGAGGTGTTATCTTTTAGTAATTATGCATTAATGACACCACTTTAAGTTGCAAATGTTTTTTTTTAGATTTCACTAAAGTGACTTGTTCCCATCATTTTAAATATCGCAATAAGGATACGAATTTCAATCACCGCCCAACTAACACAATCTCAATGCCTAGCAAAAAATGTGTATTTCTTTCAAAAGACACAAAATTTGAATCATTTTTTTTCTTCGTCTGCTAAATATATTCAACTGAACAAAACTCTACGATTATTTTTATAAAATAGTTAAGTGTGTTTTCTAGATTATTTTTTTTGTCTGTTAAAAATGTTTTATAACATCAAGAAATATATGTATTATATAGAATATTTTTTTATCTTCATCTTCATTAAAGTAAATTACATATTTTATGTTTAAAAAAAGGTTGCAAATGTTATGACTTCTTTTTCCTTATTTATTCTTTTTTTTTCTTTAAATAGTATATAATTCATAACTAGAGCTGGTAAATATTGCCATTTCTCTTTCATTTTTTTTATTTTTTTGTATCTATGCTGTGTCACTTCTTTTCGCTTTTTTTTTCAAAATATTTTGCTTCTTTTTTTCATTTTAATATGCGCATTGATTTCAAATTAAATATTCATTAAAAACTTTACAATTAGTCGATTAGACAGTTTTCTCTAGCATTTGCTTAGACGTAAATAGGTTGGTTTCATGTGAACGGCTTCAGATGCTTGAATGTGTATGTTTATTTAGAAATGAAATTGAAAATTGTCAATCAATGATTGCAAATGAACCGACGGACGAATCGATAATCAGAACTGGTATCTCCCTGAGTATCGTAAATTTGGGTCAAAATCAAATGTTTTGAGTTCATCGATAATTTAATACTATTTCAAAAGGAGTTCAAATAAAGTGATTGGAACATTTCAACATTTCGAACTTATTCTATTGATAAACAAATCGAACAGTTAATCAAGATAACCTTCATCGAAATCCAAACTGTTTATTTGCATCAATGATCGACATAAAGATTCTAATTATTAATTAAACTGTTTAGAACCCTGACATGATTATGAAATGTTATTGATGCGATATTTTAGGTGATTTATTCTGTTTCTCATCTTATTCATTTTGTTTTACGTTTGCGTTTACAATGACAATTATTTAACGCTATTATTTTCAATTGGTTTTTGTCTTATTAAGTCCATTACATTACATAAAATCAATTGAAACATTAATCTACAGAATGGTTTTAAAGGTGGGAATCCATAATTGTGGTTCATTTTAATAAACTTTCCAAATGATCGATTTTATTTTCTTCGTTTGCAATGCAGAGATGAAAATATCCATTCCATCAAAGAGAGATTATCTCAAGGGAGAGACTCATCATTTGAGCGTACACACAAAGAAATTTCTTGTTGTTCACACTCAATGTATAGTCATTAGCAAAATTCTTTGTGTGTGCTTTTTTTAAATTGCATATGATTTCCATATGAATCCCTTAAAATAAATCAGCATTACTAGATAAATGTCTTCAAATGCGTTACTGAAAAAAGTCAGTCAGCAAAAGCGTTATAAAATATATGGACGATGTCACGCTTTTGTTGGCGAACTTTTTTATATAACGCGTCACATACAGTTTTTGACACTATTGCTGACGTACTTTTTTCTATAACGCATTTGAAGACATTTATCTAGTAATGCTGATTTATTCTAGGCGGTTCATATATCATTCAGAACTATATCATTCTCCGATGCAATGTGTGTATGTTTTTTTTTCAGATAGATATGGAATAAATTGTTGATGGTTTGATATTTCAAAATTGTATATTAAAATCAATGAAATTCAACCACGAGATTAAAGGGCTAAATCGAATTGAAGAAAGTTTTTTTTGTCCGTTACCTTAAATTACTGTCATTTACAAATGTTGCTTGTTTTACTGCGTCTATTTTGATTAGAAGTGTTTCTGAATTAAATTAGCTTTTCTCTATGTTTAACTTTTTGTTTCTCTCTTTTAATGAGACTATCGTATTTTTTTTCGTTAAAAGTCCAAAAAACCTCGAAAATAAATCATCTGTGTGTGTAAGTTTCCATGTGCGACAAAGATGATGTGTGTCCATATATTGTGTAGTTTAATGTGCGCTTAATATGCTATTTAATATTTTAAAGATTTTTTTATGCATCCTAAACGGACGTATTACTACGAATACGTTAATGTGTTTTAGTTGTAAAACCTGTTGATGTTTTTCTTTCTCTTTTTCTTTCAATTTTCATTTTCTAAATTATGTTATGCATTTGTAATGTAAAAATATTCCTTCATTTTGACGTTTATTGTTTCAAGGTTCGAATTGCTTTTCATTTTTTTTATACGATTTGCATAAATCAAATTTCAAATTGGATTTATTTTATTTTTATGTGATACGATTTCTTTTCAACCTTAGCGGAGTCTTAATTTTTTTTCCAGGCATTGTATTTAGATATTATCAGGCAGATAACGCCAGGCGCTGATTGTAACAATGGATACATAACCATAACAAACACTTCTATAGTTGTCGCTCCATCTGAATGCATGTTTGAATGTATTATTAATTTGGTTTTAATTTTAAAAACGTTTGTTTTTGTCGAAAAATAAGACGAGGAAACTGGGAAAATTGTTTGGTAAACTCTTCTGAATGTTTAAATGACTAGAAAATATTTGATTTGTGTTTATCCATTGTTTGAATTTGATTTATGCAATTGATCGTTTGGAGAAATATGTTTTCTTACATAATTTCATTGGAATACTAATGGCTTTTCTGATTACTACAAAAAAACACACCAAGAAACTATCTTCAGAGATACAGAAAAACAGAGGAGCTAATAACTATTTAAGATATTCTAACTCTTCTTGTTGTTGATGTTATTTTATATGGCGAATGTGAGTGGCAGAAAAATGTGAATGAAATGAACATAATGAGATGGTTTACGAATAGATTTCTAAGAATGCACATGCAAAATTGCTTTTTTTTAAATCCTGAATGATGCAATCCAAAAAAAATTCGCCCCATTTCACAATGCAGCAACATTTAGTGTGCTTGTGTTTTACATTCAGCTTTTTCTTTTGTTAAAACTTACAATGCAAAATTTGCATTCAAAATCGATGCATTTCTAGTTAGTACTGAACTCAGCGGTAATTCGACTGCTATAGTTTTTAATTTAAATTTCTCTTTTAATTTAAAATCTTTTTTTTTAATCTCCGATAGTATGTACAATTACATGATAGTTTCGGTTCATTTGCCGATTGTCGGCTATAAATATTTTTTTTTTATTTTTCTTAAATTTCTTTTCTCTTTAAATCGTTCAAGAAAAAACGCGTCGCTTCCTAACTCCATTCGATAGTACTTTACTTAGAACTTATGCTTAACTTAATCTCTACAAAAATTAATAAATTTTCTTTGCCATTTAAATAAATGAATTTAACAACCTTAGTTCATGTGTTTTTTATTAGTTTAAGACCATTTATAATGCATACCTGAAATAATAAATTGAAACGTTTTATGTTTTTCAATTCATATTACATATTCTAAAAAAAAAAACGAATAAAAACAGTGTGGGGAAAAACTAAAGAGAAAAAGATATGATAACATTGGGTTGATTGGTTTTTCCTTTTTTTTTCCAAATGGGTTCGATTTTATTTGTAAAAAGTTCCACAAAAAAATGTTCTTAAAAATAAGCTATAGCTTAATCGATTAAAAAAAAATAAAGTAAAAAAAAAATATTTTCGTAAAAAATATACTCAATTTTTTTTTATTAAGCATCCTAAAAAAGGTTGTGTCCGAGTGTGTAAATAGCTCTCAAATTGACAAAGAAAAAAAAGAGTCGAAGACAAAAACGAACTGTTAACTAAAAAAAAGGCTTTAACAAAAAAGTACAAAAAATACCAGTTTGCATTTAAAAAAAAAAGATAAACAATGCGCGACAGAACGCTACTTAATTTTATGTTTGCATTGAAACGAGCAGGAAATCAAAACATGTCAGAAATGAAAGAAAATCAAATAAAATTTAAACACTTCGAACGATAATTGCTCTTGAATCATACCTCCTCAATCAATTTCTTTACATTATTAAATTGCTAATTTTGAGTCTTGGAGTGTAATTTTAATGCGTAAAGACGATCAAACTTTCTAGAATTTATGCTAAACCATTATTAATTTGAAAAAAAAAAAATAGTAATATTGTGCAATAATTAATCAATAAATTGAGATCCGTCAGCAAAAGTGAATAATTTCGAGTTCATTTCTGTTGATGTGGTGTAAATCAGAGAAAATTGAGAAGAAGAAAAAAAAATAGAATTTGTTCTACGCTAAACGAAAATGAATCATTTAAAATGATACAGATAGATACAGAGCAAGAGATAGTAGAAGAGAAACAGGAAAAAAATTAAACAATTTAAATAAATAGCAACAAATTGGTAACATTAATTGTTTCTTCGAAGAGCAAAATTTGATAATTTGCAAAAAAGCATTGAATTTTGTTGAACTGTTTTTAAATGAATATGGATTATTTTCACCCAATTTCTTTTTTTTTTTTCTAGATTGTTAAGATTACAACTGAAGGCGGATGAATTGAAAAGAAAAATGGGATTCATGCAAATAAACAAAAAAGAATTAGGTCTAAATTAAAGAATATTAGAACGAACACTTTTCTGGTTGTTCCGAGAAAAATCCATTTTCTTTTTATCTTCCAACTATAATTGAAGAGAAGTGAAATAATGTAGATAGATTTTTGTTTATGTTGTTTCTTTTTTTTTTTAAATGTATCGATAAGAGCCTATAACGGCAATTATTTATACGCTTTTGAGAAATGATTAATTTAATGTAAACCGTAAACACTTACGCAAAGTGCTGCGAAATAAATACGATGATTAAACGAGAATTTCTGTGGTTATTTGTTTAGTTTTTCTCAAAAGAAAAATTCAATATATATAGATCGCGCTCAAGCCACATGACAAAAACAATGGGCTTAATTTGACAAAAAAAAATTGATTAAAATTTTTGATATTTTCCATATCAGCTTACAAATTAGAAAAATATTGTTATTTTTTCTTCATAGTATCCCTATCAGTGATGATGTGAAGCTGTAGCGGAATATATAGTGTAAGTGTGGGTCTGTGTGTTATTTATCGCCTTTAAAATGAGAATTGCATCGATGGTGCAGATGTTGTAGTTTCCGAACTGATCGAGTCAAGTCGTTGTCATTTGGAATTGCTTTGCAAGGCGGTATTTATCTGAGCCCATAACTCTTTTTTGCATTGCTTTGACCTTAAAGTGAAAAAAAGGAACGGTTTTAGCAAGTGATACCTTGATCGTTTTAAAACGTGGATATTTACCGTCGGATCGACTGTAGCCAATCTTTGAACTGAGCATTTCCTTCAGGTGTAATTTGAAATGCAGCTCTAGCTGCCAAAATTATGTTTGCGAAATCTTCGTAGTCCGATGGCGTCAAATGATATAACTTTTGATGAATGCACTGAATATACCTAAATTATTCGAACAAAAAAAATGCCATTAGTATAATGTGAAACCAGCAAACAAATCAAATGGAATTCTGGTTCTTACATTTGTTGACATTTCTGAACGAGCGGTGTCAATGCGGATCTCAAGTGTTGCATGACAAGCGTTGGATTATTTCGTGCCAAATAGTGTGCCGATTCGATTGCGACATCGTGTAACACGAATGGGCTAACTATTGAATTAACCGCACACACACAGAATTGATGTAAGTATTGTGTTCCCAGTTTCTTGGACACCTGCAATAACCACTTGACATCTTCTCCATACGGTGGATTTCGTGCATATTTTGCTTGTGGACGATCGTCGTGCACACGACGGGCCAGCGTTTCCATTGCCAACATTCCGACATTGTAGGCGGCCATCAGGTAGCGCAACTGTGCCTGATTATAATGCAATGGATGTCGTTGACGCGTTTGCAACGGTGGTGCCGGATGCGGACCCTGCTGTACATATGGTGAATACATCATTGGACCATGATGTGGCCCGTGTGGATTCGGTTGGTTTGGAGGCTGATGCATTCCCTTGAAGGGTTTGATTTTGAAAAAAAAAAAAACATTTAAAATATGCAATCGAGCGATAATGATGGAGTAAATAATAATAGAGACTAACCGGTTGTGGTGGAGCTGGTTGTTGTTGGTTCCTCATGTTTGGTAAAGGTGGTGGCCCTTGTGGCATATTCATACCTTGTGGTGGCTGTTGATTTGGGGGTGGACCAAAGAATTGCATATTCGGTGGCATCGGAACATTGCCAGGTGGTTGCGGCTGAATTGGTACGAAGAACGCGATTTATTTATTTTTATTACCAATTTTTTTCATTAGTTTAACACCACATTTGATTAAAGCATTCAGCAGTTACTTACTTGATTATGAGGCTGTTGCGGCATCATGAACGGTTGAACATTCGGCCCACACGGCATTGCATAACCTTGGGGTGGCATTGGCGGATGTGGCATTGATTGATATGTTGTACCGGGAACGAATGGTGGCGCTGGTTGTTGGGCATTTGCATGTGTTTGCGGTGGATATTGAAAACCTTGCGGTGGCGCCGAAATGTACATTTGCATCTGATTATGTGGATAAGTGATATTGTGATGATGATAGATTCCTTGACAACTCGGGAAACTGTAAACAACATGAGATCAATTTAGATTCACTTTTTTTTTGGTGGCGTTGAATATCGACGATAATTACCTGTATGGTACATAATGTGGTACACCAACCGGTGCTACACTCTGTTGGAATTGTGGCGGTGGTTGGGTTACGACCATTTGACTGCTTGTTCCAGGTGGCAATCCACCTTGAGGTGGTGGCTGCGGTTGATCTGTTTTTGAAAACAAACGCACAATGCAATAAGAATTTTCAATTTTAATTGAGAAAAAAAACGAGAGTCTTACCCGAGTGATGTTGCTGCAGAGGCATTTCATGATGTTCGATCAACGAACTCAACGATTGCATGCTATGATCCATTTGTGGCATATTATTATCATCGTGTTCATGTTCGCCACCCGGTGAATTTTTCAAATACAATTCGTACCAATAATGGGCGACCTGAAACAGTACTTCTGGATAGACTCCGCCACCTTTAGCCGCATTTTCAACGCGTATACAAGCTCTTTCTAGCATTTGATCGCTTTGATCTTTACACTGAAGAATCGCCGATTGAATTTCATTGGGGTTGAGTGCTGATGCGTGTGGCAAAACAGACAATGCCAATTCAGCCGATGGATACACCATATTACTGTCCCATCCACGTGACGCTCGATCAGCAGTATTAGCTGCTTCGGGTGGCGTTAAATGTCCTTCCCAGGTGTCGATCAAAAATGATATTGCCGGAGCACCAATTTCCATGGCTTGTCCCAATATCCACGATACATGCGATGAATATGTTCGCGACAACCAGTTGGGACTCACACAATTATGCAAACCAAGTGCGTACAAGCCCAATTGGAATGCGCACATATGCAATGTCTTATGCGGACCAATCATATTCTGATTTGGTGTTGCTTGCGTAAAGAGTTGCGTTGAACTCGATCCCCCAGCCTTGGTTAAGACATTCTTTGCCAATTCAAACATGAAATGAGCACTCGCTTCCGACGGCTGATTTGGAATGGATGGATATGCTCTTTTACCTGCGATAGAGAAAAATGATAAAAGAAAATGGCCATATTTGAAAAAAGTTCGAACTAAATGTAGAAAAAAAGAAAATTCAGCATTCAACAAACCTTTATAACGTGTATCTTTCATGCGAGCACTGGTATTCGTAATGGTTGGGCCAACTGGTTGGCCAGGCATCGGATTGGATGCATAATTCTGCGAAATGGTCAGTGCATTTAATCCAATGTCCAATTCAGCGCTTGTGCTGCTATGCGGTCGTGATCCAGCACTGCCGCTATTTCCAACGCCATACTCATTTTGATAGTATTCATTAATGCCGCCGTAACGTGCGGCAATTTCATGGTCGTCACGTCGCGCCTGTGCAGCGGTTGGTGTTCGAACCGGTGGATTGTTCGAATAATATGAAGGCAACAATGGTGTTTTTATGAGAGTGTGAATGTCTCGGTCCAATAGTTTTTCCATAATTTTGGCAATTCGATGCGGTTCATCTTTGTAGTAATAGAGTAATGTTAACGCTAAATCGCCACGTTGACGACGTGTACCTTCGCACAATAGTGGATGTTCCGCCTCTGAAACGTTTGCTTTGAGACCGAGGGCAGCAACGGCTGCTTCAAAGCCAAGATTTTCATCGGTTGGTAATCGATGTGCCATCACTTTCATACGTTCTTTGCCCGATACCGATGGCATGACCAGAGCATCGAATATAAAACTGGCCAACATAATTGGTAACAATGCTTCGCCGCGTGACCTTAATGTTCCATCTTTAAGTTGTTCGGCTCGTTCACGTATAACACGTAACTCTTGCATACCGAGCGGTATACGCTTCAATAGGGCCAACAAATCGGCCTCTTGATTGGCAAGTTTCACTTCAAGCGGTTTCGTACTAGCTGGTGGCCGTTGCATTTCCAACGCATACAAACAAATACGGAATGCCAAATGATAGTGTTCCGAATTTTCAGCTAGAACGGTGCACAAAAATGCACATTTTGCAAGTGTTGCCGATGCCAAAACACTAACTTGATGTGAAATCGGATTGACAATATGTTTTTTGCCTTTGCGTTGTTTTACCGGTGGTGGTATTTCAATCATTAAGTTCGGTGGATTGGCCAACATTTCTTCGGCTAAACGTACGGCCAAAGTGCATGCTTCTCTCCCGTGTCCATGGGCATGTAAACCTTCGGCACGTGCAAATAGAATGTCCCATGCATCTTCGGTTGGTTTGATGTTCGAAAATATCTGTGCCTTGTTTCCTTGTTCGATTTTTGCCTTATCGAGTGCGTATTGCTCTTGTAATTTCTGTTGATATCCTTTCGATGTGTCATAACAGTAAATACTGTATTCGTCCATTGATTGTTGACTGCCTGAGCTTGACAAACTGTCATCTTTCGATGGCCTTCGATCGGCTTCATTGTCGTTCGATTGTTCTTTAGCTGTGCTTCCTTTGCTAGTCGATGGAACGGCATCATCGATTTGTTTCTTTTGTTTGACTTCTTTTGATGTTGTCGATTTGTAAATAGCTGCCTTTGATGTCGATGGAACAGCATCGTCGAATGGTGCTTTCGAATCTTTACGTTCAACGGCGTCTGGTGTCGATTGGGCGCTACTACTGAATTTGTCATTTTTATCGTCGTTTTTCTCAATATCATCCATCTTTGCTACTGCATCAGATGAAATGGTAAGTGTTAATTTTTGCTGTGCTACGCAACTGGCCAACTTACAATCGTTGGTGAATCTCTTGGGCGATTGCTCGAATCGTACATTTAAATCGGATTGAGAATTAATTGTTTGTTCGTTGGCTGTTTCAATGCCAGCATTTAATTTATTTGTTACGCTAATTGAGTTGGAACACCTAATGCTATTGTTAGAGCTTGAATTACTTGAGATCGGAGATTCGCAATCACCGCGAGAATTCACATTTACCGTATTCATATTAATCGCTTTACTTTTACTCGAAATTCGTTCTTTCTTCTTTCCATTATCGCCTGAACTCGAACTTACAATATTACCACCGCTATCAATACCATCATCTTCATTCTCACAAAAACCTTCGCTCGACGTTGATGAACGATTATCGTCGCGTTCATTCGGTAGATTTGCTAATCGAACATTAACACTGTCGCTACTGCTATTGCTGCTGCCATTGCTACTCGATTGATACGGTCGAAAGACGCGTTTCAATTGATTATGATGGTCGGTTATCATGTATGTGTAATGCTTTTGATTTGCTGACAAAACTGCTTGGCTTGAGTTCACCTGGCTATTTGTTGTTTCACTCTTCGACGATTCGGTCTGTTTGAAGCATGTGAACGGACAATGATACATTGGATTTGTGTCTTGAGTATGTGTTATGCCCAAAATTGGATAATCCTCCCAATCTAAATAGCATGCTTCAATGGCCGGCTTAAAACCGGTAAACAGTTCAGCATCTGAACGTATATGTTGTGAATGTTTATTGCTATACGATGAACTTTGAACACGACATTTTGTAACACGATCCAAAATTTTCAAGTGCCATGTGGTGAATTGAGCGTGCAACATGTCACGTTCTTCGGGCGCCAAGCCCGGATTTAACGATGCCAAACGCCACAATACCACAATCTCATCACACAATGAACTACATGCATGCTGCGATGCATTCGAATTTGAATGAGTATTACTGTGTTTTCCGCCATTATGACCACCGGTACCAACTAGCATTGAAAGCTTTGTGTTGAACCACCACACCAAGATTTGATCACATTGCATGCACTCTTCGGTGATTATTTCCAGCAAACGAATTGCATTCCGATCACAACGACGATACATTTCTCTAACAATTGACAATAGATTCCACATTCCTTCTGGCTCACGGCCACGCAATGGCCGAAGCAAAGAACTCCATTCAGTTGCCGCTGGCGGTGCTGAATTCGTTAAATAGTTGACATCACTGTAAACCATCGGTGCTGGCAAACAGAATTTTATCAATATCTTCTTGATATTCTCGTGTAATGTCTTCTCATCCAAATACCAATTGGTTTGATCGTTTGCCGATGCGCCTGCCGTTGGATCTGGTGCACCGCACACAGTATTTATTGCTGTCGGTTGTGAACTGAAACAAATGTATACCAATTTTAGCATAGAAAATTTTGCGAAGTGATTTAAAATGAGTTTACCTTAATAACTCATCGAGAAGACGTTGAGCCGTTGGTAAGATCTGTTGCGGTAATTCACTTATCAAGTATTGAGCGAACTTTTGTAATTGATCACGTTGCAAACGTGTCAATGACTCCGAAACCGGTGCCCTCAAGCATACCTCTTGTGGCTGCAACCAAAAAGAAATTCAAAATTATTTGTGTGTCTGGAAATGGGGTGGCAATTGATGTGATACATACACAATGAATACGATGTAAACAGACAGCAACCACATGAGAACACCAATATGCTGTTGATGAACAGGTGCAGTTACATGATGATATTCGTCTTCTGTCAAATGTCACAGCAACATTGAATTGAGAACGAGGCTGTGTGCCAGTAACCGTTGCCGATAAATGAAATCCTATGAACGTAATCGGCGTGCATTAATAATCATTTGAATTTTGATCAAAAAAGGGGGTCACTTTTACCTATTTGGAGTGGGTCTTTTACCGCTCTTGTTCGATACAATTGATCACCTCGATGGAATTCATCGGCTGAACTATTGGCCAAACATGAATACAATCGTATATCCTCTTCATTGTCGGGAAAACTCCAGTAAGCGATGCGCAATTGTAATTGCTCTGGAACGGGTGGAAAGACATGTTCAACCAATTCAAACGGGATAAACGATGCCACACATTTTGCTGCCAACTCCGTGAGACTGGTCACAGGAAACTCTACAGAAAAACAACAAAATACTTGATGTGACTTATTTCATTCCGAACTTTCTAACCTAAAAAAAGTCTGGTGTTGGGGACATTTATTGGGGACATTTTCGTTAATTCAGTTATGTGCAAAAGAAAATTCACAGACCAGGCCATTTTATCATGACCATTATTTCATATTTCAAGAAAATTTCAACTCCTAAACCCAATGAAAATGAAACAAAAATACAACTCACACTTCATTTCAACTGATGATAATTATTCATTTAAAAATGCCATTTCTAACAGTGTCAAAGAAATTCAATATAATATATACAATACAAACGATTTTTATGTGAACATTTTTAATCGAATACATTTTATGCGAGTTTCAATTGTCAGAATCAGAATTTCCTAATGTGGTTCAAAGAAACACATTATTTTTTGAGCCTGAACGCTTCTTTGAGCCTGACTTGTAACCGTAGCACGTGATGATTGGAAGCATATCCACAGACCATATCTAGTCTCGCTTGATTTTGATTCAGACACAGAGCGAACTGGTCCAGAATCGATGCATGACATCAATTTTATTTCGTTATTGTTGTTCAGATCTGAAAGCACGAAGACAACGTTGGCTAGATGTGTAAACGAGTGCTCATATTCGTCGCAGGTGCGTATGCCGCCGCTGTATGTAGCATTGTAGCTATTGCCATAACCGTCTGATTTATCGCAACAAATAGAACAATTTCATGTTTCCGATGAATTTTTAACCTTTTTTGTCTGAATTTGATTCTTTCTCCGACAATATTTTCATCAATTGTTGATGGTCTTCTTTGATTGCGCCTGTATTCATTCATATCGGTTCATTCGGAGAGCACCGAAATAGATCCGAGGAGTTGATCAGCTTCGTAGTCAAAAAATCGCCGCCGCTGATTTCACACTTGAAATGATGTGTCTCTTTAATGCAAAATAAATGGAATACATTGGCGCTCAATGATATGGTGTATTCAACTGAAAACATAACATTAACTGATTTTCTCACTTTGAACAAAATTCCAACGAAAATCCAATTGTGGTTCATCTATTTGCAATCATAGTGATGCTTTTTTTTTTGAATAATGAAATTTAAAAACAAAATAATGTTTTTTTGTACATCGCTTGAAAATTTGGTACAGGTCTACAGTCACGAGGATTAAACGAATGACTAATACCAATCGCAAACTATCACACTCTAACTTCTTTTAGAATATAGAAAACCATCGATTGACTGTCAATCATTTGGTGATTTTGGCAACAAAATGGTCCATAAATTCAGCTATTTCAATTTCAATTGACGTCAGCAAAAATGCAACCATTTTACGTAGGTTGCTCCATAATTTTTTTTAAAATGGTACTTATAGTGTT